CAGCACCGGCAGCAACAACAACAACAACAACACCAGCAGCAACAACAACAACAAAAACAAAGTCAGGACAACGGCTGCAACGGTTTTCCTTGTCCATTACTACGAATGAGCTCGCTTCAAGCTCGCCCGAGGTTTGGAAGTCTTTTCAATCGCTTCCACCTCAATGCGACACAGGCCTTGGCAACGGATTCTTCGGTCCTCAAACCGAAGACTTCAAAGCTGGGGTCAGATCCGCCTTTGATGAGCAGTTGAACCGTGTTTTGATGAAATTCCTCGCTACAGTAGCCGCTAGTAGAGCGACCCAGAGCTCGTGTGCACATTTTTTTTTAAAGAAATGACACCCGACACAATGCAACTCTGACTGGCCGGACCCAAGCGTACATGCCGAACCCTGACCGCCCTAACCGGGTCCCGAACCTTGAAGCCAATGCTGCGCAGGCCCTGGGACCGGAGTTTAACTGGACCAAGCAGGAACTCTTGGACACGTACTCCACATACCCCGACCTTCCTGCCAAGTATGCGGTGCAAGCTGGGAAAGTCCTACTGGAGGGGAACGATCTTTCACGTGAGGACTGCTGGCTTTCCAACCTGATGTGGTTCCTATCGCTGGCTCTTGTAGAGTTGCAGGAGTCGGCGGCGGGCTTGGCTCAGGCGGATCCAACCTCGGTCATGAGGCCTCGTTTGCATCGAATCGAGAAGTTGGTGGAGACTTCGGGTTTAGGATTTCATGATAGCTGAACCCTTTGCGTGCTCAGACCTTCAGGCGATTGCACAAGTTTTGATGCCAGAAAAGGCCTTGTAGAAAGCTGGGTTCAATGGGCTCGGAATACGACAGGTCCCTGGGCCTGCTGATCCTGTCCAAGCCTCTGGCCTTAGATGCACTGGTCATGGGCAATATCGATGACGACACCGCCCGCGGAGCTGTAGGCCCGCCGTCTGTAGAGACAAACATGAGCAAGTTCGAACAGTTCCGTTTCCTCGCAGGACAGATCATTCACTCTATTCAAGTGCCTGCTTGGGCTTCTCCTCCAGCGCCCCCCGAGCAGAGAAGCCTTCCGGGGGTCCGACCTATCGCCCGTCCAGCACAGCCTGTCGAAGTTCTGGCCTCGGGTTTATCCGGCATCTTGCATGGACCTGCTTGCTACTTCCGACTGCGTCGCGCGTTGACAGGAAAGCAGTTCAAGGGCCTTGCGCAAGATGTTTTGGATGAATTTGCTTCTGCATGTGCCGGATGCGAAAGATGCAGCGTTGCCTTGCCTGACGCTGCGCCGTGCTCTTTGCGAAAGCCTGCGAAGCTGGGGGTGCGACCTTTTTCAAGGATGTCCACTGAAAAACACGAGTGCCAAGGTGCGTGCCCGGAATCCTCGGCAAGGGGATCCGAATGATGTGGCACTGGTGAAGATTCTGGTAGGTGTTGCCACGGTGGAGAACAGGGCTGCCTTCGGCGCCATCGAAGCCTGGGAGCATAGAGAGCTTTCAGGGTAGTCGGTGTGTTCTGTGTGCTCATGCACAGCAATTATCCCTGTGTCGCGTCTTCGAAGGGCCTGATCCTCGGTAACCTGATGTACTCCCAGCTCCGAACCGAAGAGCAGCTTGGATATGTGGTGCAAGGCGCAGTTGGCAGCATGTCCAATGCTCCTCGACTGCCACGCTGGGCTCGGTGGGCGTGCACGCACGACTGAAAAGTGCAGAAGCTGTCGGAAGCATCATTGCAGCATGAGTGAGGTTCTCTATGTCGCGGGACTTGTGCAGGGCACCTCCCGATCTGCTGATGAGATGGAGGCCGCGATCGAAGGCATCTTCTGGAAACGCCTTCCAGACTTTCTGGAAAATTTAACCGCAGATGCGATCGACAGCTACAGGAGACTTGGCAAGGTTCGCTGGATTCTCGAGCTTTGCAAAGAGATGGCCTCCTGTGCGCGAGGAAGGCTTTGCTGCAGCAGTACCTGCAGCCTCCCAGCAGCATCGAGGAGGAGCGCAAGCACTTCTTCGGACCTGCCTCTCGGACCTCAGATCTCTGACAGTTTCCTGAACTTGGAATGGGTGCTTCCTGTGAATCTTAGACACACTAGGAGCAGAACAACCCGGAACACCACATCCATTGATAAGGTCAAGCACCACGGAGCTTGCCAGATACCCAGATCCAACATCGAGAGAGACCTGAATGAGTTTTGTAACAGAAGCAGCAGCAGCTGCTGCCAGAAGTAGGCCACCTGGCTGAAAGGTTTTGAGCTGCTTGGCGAAGTTGTTCGCTTTGCCAACAGCTCCGACTTCAACAAGGATCTCATGGTTTAGCTCTGCTCAGACCCAGAAGAGGATGTTCTTAAAGTCTTGCGTTTGCCATACATCGTCTTCAGTAAAAAACATGCCTGGAGCATTACAGGGCCTGGCTGGGCTTCAGGGGTCTGGAGGGGCTTTGGAGATTCAAGGGCGCTGACCCTTGTCGAAGGACTTGCTAACACGCAGCTGGTCCCAGCTGATGGCGCCAAGCGGTGGGTGGCGGCACAAGGCTACGAAGCCATGCGTTTCACTTCGTGCCCGCACGAAGAGTGCTCTTTCGGTCTTGCAGCTCTGGGAGGTCGTCGTGAAGTATTTCGGCAAATCAGTGCCGGAGCGACCTGACTCAACGTCTTGGCGGCTGGCAATGCAGAAACGGGGCGTTCCGGAACAGGCGCTGCCAGACACTTGGAGTTTCGCAGAGTCCCGGAGAGCAGAGCCCCGAGCCTGCAACTTCAGGTCGCAGCTGACGGAAGAGCACACGAAGACCATGGTCTTGCAAACTGCAGATTCCGCAGCCCGTGTCGCGCTTTCTCGGGGCGACAAACAAGGCAAGTCGACCGGACGCCTCGAGTTGTAGTCAGTGAGATGCAATGCTGGCGAGGTGGCGCGTACTTCCCCACAGACTTGCATTGCCGTCGAGAACGGGATCCAAGAACAATCAGCTTCCTAGCACGAAGGATGTCAGCCCGATGACAGTTGTTGCCATCGGCGACGCTGCTGCTTGAGCTTTTTCCCAGCAAAAGATCTCCTGCACGTTCTTGTGAGCGATCGCAGGAGACTGATTCTGCCTAGCCCATGTGATTAGTGTGCACTCCGGCATATCAGACTTTCCCCCGAGCCCGGGCTCGCAGGGCCAAGAATGTCGCTGAACCGTTCGCTCATGATCACGCAGAGTTGTTAAATGTCCTTGAAAGCTCTTGAGGTCCAGAGCAAGATTCCGCACGTGATACGAACGAACTGAGTATCTCTAACATCTCATGACTGGTACGAAACTGCATGAGAGTGCCCATCGCTCCTGAATGAAGAAGCGACATGCAAGATGGACTCCAGTGATGCTGGTCGATCCCACCGCCTCAAATCCCTCCTTTCAGAATTCGGGCTTCCACCCGAAGCCGAGGTGCCCCAACTGCAGGCAAGGTACCGCTTCCTCGCGAAGCAGAGGCACCCGGACATGGTCTCATTTCACTGCCGCAGGCATGCGACCGCGGACTTCGTAAAGTTGCACAGTCGATATCGGGAGACGCTGTCTCTGTTACAGTCCGGGACACTGCCGAGTGGCGGTGGGTACGGTGATCACATCATTAGAAGCCACAATGGCCTGTTCTACCATGATCCATACAAATGGGCTCCTTCGAAAAGAGGCGGACGACGGTGGCAGCGTGAAGGTCATTACGAGCCACCAGCGAGTTGGATGACCAAAATACGGGGACTCGCAGTAGTCGGTTGCTTGATGGCGCTTGTGCTCTTCGTCTTTGACAGAACTGCGCGGAAAAGGAGCCTGACTTCATGGAACTAGCAAGCGTGAAGGCCTGTGGGCCTGTCGATTTCAAGCCGATGGCTGAAGAGGCATTGCCGGGTAAAGCACCGAAACTGGCGAGGCCGCATCCCTGATCGTGACCATCGCCTTGTTCACCGCGGCAGCTCTGGCGAATGGGCTTGGAATGAGGCGAGTGTTTGTGAGGCCTTGGGCCTTGCGGCGCGTCAAAGCCAGAGCTCTTCTCGCCAAACGCCAGAATCCGGGGTGGACCTGCTTGGCTAAACCAGGCTCTTAGGTTTGCAAGTTTTAGCCGATTCCTCATGTAGTCTCTCAACCAACCCGTGTGCAACGAAAAGGAGGTGTGCCTGGGCGGAGAACACGCAGCTAGCGTTGCACTTCGCTTCACAAGCCAGGTTCCGTTTTGCAGCGGGAGTTCCTGTACATTCAGCTGCAGCCTCAGGACCCTGGACATCTGCCGTCATTGCAGAAGAGCACCCCAAGCCAAGGATGGAGTTTTGCGATGGCACGACGCTTCGCGAGGTGGAGGGGTCCAGCAACAGTAAGGGCTGTGGCCGGTCGCGGCCTTGCTAGCCTGCAGTGACTGCCAATGCAACGGCTCATAAAGTTAGTGAGGCTCATGATTACATCGTGCGCAGGCCATTGGAAGTGGGGCTCTGCACAAGGATGAAGCACTCATTTGGAAACTGTTCCTTGAAAGCAGTGGCTTTGTCTTTCTTTGCCGTTGCTGGGAAACAGATGGTGGGTCGTCTTGAGTGCTTGCGAAGCCCAGGTTTCGCCAAGTACTCGATGCAGAGTCCTTATCTTCTCTGGCATGCTCCACCTGCACATGTAGCTGACCGCATCTGGCTAAGCGGCAAATGTGGCTGCCAGGCACTTGCATATATGCATTCACGAGGCCAGAAGGGGAACGGACGAGGGATCGGGGCAGCCTCTTCAAGCGTGTTGCGAGGCCTGATACATCGAGATGTGAAGCCGTCCGGGCCTAAAGTTTGCAGAAGCAGGCTGCTTAGCAGCCGCACAAGCATCCGGCACAGTGTCTTTGTGAGAGTGTTGCTGGCATGGCTTGACTTGATTTTGCTTGACGCAGCTCGCACCGGTCCCAAGTTTCCTAGCAACTGACATGAGCATGAGCCGGAGCAGCGGGCAAACAATACAGTATGCAGCCTGGTGTCGGCTTGGTGTTTGCATGACGATGGCTAGGTGCAGGTGCACTTTTTGCAAGGCAGAGCAAGACGAACCTTGGGTGGGCGTACACCGAGCCTTGCGCCGCACATGGAAAAGATCGATGACGACGACCAGCTTCAGGATTGTTTGCATTTTCGAAAAGCTTCGTCGTGTTGTCGCAAAGGCCATGTCCAAGATACAGGATGGCTTGCAGACGTGTATCGGATGTATCGATGATGGTCAGCGTAGTAGAGCAATGATGAGCATCAGGACAAGAGCTGGGAAGAAGGGTGACGTGCACTAGATGATGGCAGTCTCTGTGCCACTGCAAAAAGCGAGGGCACAGAAGCCATTGTTACGAATGTCAGCGGTGGCAATAGACCAAATACTTGCAAGTAGAACTGGGACTTTTGCTGCTGTTCCAGCTGCTCCTTGCTACGGTTACAATGCCACAAGGTCACAAGGCCAATAGTCGGGGTGGTGGTGCTGGTGGTGGTGGCGGTGGTGGAAGTGGTGCTGGTAGTATTTGTCGTATTGATGCAGGATGTAGGAGTACAGTAGTAGTGGTCGTCGTCGTGGTCGTCGCGGCGGTAGAAGTAGAAGTAGAAGTAGAAGTGGCAGTAGTAGTAGTAGTAG